CACACACACACACACACACACAGTCACATACTGTCACACACACACTCTCTCACACACACACACACACACTGTCACACACACACACACAGGTGGCGTTTCCAGAGAGGGAATTTTTTTCTACTAATGGAAGAGGGGTGTGACTGATTATCAAAGGTGGACAAAGTACACATCTCTATTACTTGAGTACACATACTGCTGGTCAAATATTACTCCAGTACAAGTGAAAGTGGTAAAGATTTAAGTAAAAGAAGTACTTTCTTTTCAAAGTACCAAAAGTAAATTTCCTTTTTTTGTGTGACTAATTATTATTGTCCTCTAGGCATTAATTCAAAGCAGGCTGATATCCCTCAAAATTATCATAATTTTGCATGATTTTCAGTGACTGACATCATTTTGTGAATCATTTATTTAATCATTTGCATATGAACTCAATAATGAACTTAAAGTCAAGTCAAGTCACCTTTATTTATATAGCGCTTTTAACAATACAGATTGTGTCAAAGCAACTGAACAGCATTAATTAGAAAAATAGTGTGTCAATAATGCGAGTGCAGAGACTGTAAAATTGGGGTAATATGATCATATTTTCTTGACCTGGTAAGGACTCTAGCCGCTGCATTTTGGACTACCTGTAGCTTGTTTATTGAAGATGCAGGACAACCACCTAGCAGTGCATTACAATAGTCCAGTCTAGAGGTCATGAATGCATGAACTAGCTTTTCTGCATCAGAAACAGGTAACATATTTCGTAGTTTGGCAATGTTTCTAAGATGGAAGAATGCTGTTTTTGTAACATGGGAAATATGATTTTCAAAAGACAGGTTGCTGTCTAATATAACACCCAGATTTTTGACTGTAGAGGAAGTAACTGTACATCCGTCTAGTTGCAAATTGTAATCCAAGAGATTCTGTTTTTTGGTCCAATAAGTAATATCTCTGTCTTATCCGAGTTTAATAGGAGAAAATTATTGGTCATCCAATCTTTTACATTTTTAACACACTCTGTTAGCTTATATAATTTTGAAGTTTCGTCTGGTCTTGTTGAGATATATAGTTGAGTATCATCTGCATAACAGTGGAAGCTAATCCCGTATTTTCTAATAATATTACCAAGGGGCAACATGTATATCGAAAATAGCAGAGGACCTAGGACAGATCCTTGTGGCACTCCATATTTGACTGATAAATATAATTGAGATGACTCCCCATTTAAATGAACAAGGTGGTAGCGATCGGACAGGTAGGATCTAAACCATCTTAAAGCCTGCCCTTGAATACCTGTATAGTTTTGTAATCGATCTATGAGTATGTCATGATCTATAGTGTCGAACGCAGCACTAAGATCAAGTAAAACTAGCAATGAGATACAGCCTTGGTCTGATGCAAGAAGCAAGTCATTTGTAATTTTAACAAGTGCAGTTTCTGTGCTATGGTGGGGCCTGAAACCTGACTGAAATTCTTCATAGAGATCATTTTTTTGCAGGAAGTAGCCGACTTTTATTTTGTAAGAACCCTGTGGCAGCTCGAGCCCATAGACGTAAATGCGCGCAGTGACCACACAATGTGTCAGTATATAAATCAGCAAGCATTTAATTTAATTCTCTTAATAACATATTAAAATGAACATGCTAAATATCTCTTAATACACATACAGTATGTTACAGTTTAGCTGTAAATACATACATGCTGTTTTTTAAAGGAAGCATATATTCAATAACTCTTACTAATGTTTTCATTCTATTAACTTATAAATTGTGATTTCTTAGCATGCGTAACACTCTAGTGCCAGTGACAGACGGTTTATTTTCACCTCATATATTGGTGGATTAGTTGCATGATCTTATTGCAGTCAGTCAAGAAATCATGATCGTTCATTGCACAACACTGATGTCAAATCATTCTTTTTCTGAATCCGTGAGAACAGATCTGACGTCACTGAACATGTACAGTTATGAAGAGGTTTAGCAGCATTGCTAATGATCAGGTTTTCTGTCCGAAAATGCATAAACATGTGTGATTTTTTTTTGTTTTACTGCTGCTTAGAACTCTCAACAACATGTTTAACATTGAACACATTTTAATCAAGCTTCATGTGGCATGAAACATGCATGTACTTTCTCTTGAACTCAGCTCGTATGTACATATTAATGCTCCTCTAGAGCTTTGCAACAACAGACGTCTAGGCGAGATTTGGCCATCAGAACAAGTTTTGCCAGTTCAGAATGAGAATGCAACTTCAGGGCTAAGCCAGGCCAAAATAATAAACAAAAAGTAAATTACCTTAACTTCAGAAACTAACCCCCGGTTTCACAGACAAGGCTTAAGCCTAGTCCCAGACTAAAGTGTAAGTCTGAGCAGTTTTAACTGAAAGAAACTTCTACTGACTGATCTTAAAACATATCAGTGCCTCTGTTTTGTCTCAAAATGCACACCAGTAATGTTTTTTTCTAAGGCACGCTAATACAAATTACTTAAATGTCCTAATTGAACTATTGCCTAGTCCTGGCTTAGTCTAAGCCCTGTCTGTGAAACCAGGCCTAAATGTCCTATATGAACAAAATACAAGAACTTCCCTAACTCCTTAACTAAAGCAAAAACAGGAGAAAACTGAAAGAAACTTGCACTGACTGATCTTAAAATATATCAGTGCCTCTGTTTTGTCTCAAAATGCACACCAGTAATGTTTTTTTCTAAGGCACGCTAATACAAATTACTTAAATGTCCTAATTGAACTATTGCCTAGTCCTGGCTTAGTCTAAGCCCTGTCTGTGAAACCAGGCCTAAATGTCCTATATGAACAAAATACAAGAACTTCCCTAACTCCTTAACTAAAGCAAAAACAGGAGAAAAGTATGTCAGGAATAAATGGCTCCTACAGTGTTCATGACTCAAAGGCCATTTGTTCTCAGGTTACATAAGTGGCCAAACACATCATAATATATATAAAAATATATATATTTACTGTACATTTACATTTACATTTAGTCATTTAGCAGATGCTTTTATCCAAAGCGACTTACAAATGAGGACAATAGAAGCAGTCAAAACTAAATAAATAAAATCCGCTGAACTTCTCGGCGAGTACGTAAGATGTCGCGTGGTGACGTCACGCGGCACTGATCTCACGCACGCGTCACGTGATCGATCTGAAACTACAACAACTGCAGAAATGTCACTTCTTCATTTCGCGTTAATATGTTCATAGTTTAAAACATGTGGGCGTTTAAAGCGAATTTGGTATTTTCTGTGCTGTTTGTCGTGTTTGGTGCTGCGCTTGGATTCCTGGGAAATGGAGATACATTTCGGCGGAAGGTAGAAATAAATCACTGTCTGAGATCCAAAACAATGAAACAAACTTCATTCCGGTGCAACAACAAAAAAACACGTACAAAGCTGCAAATACTTACATCATAGACACAGTTTAGAAGAAGTGCTTTTACGCTTCGTTTTTTAATGCAGACACTGAACGTGGTGTTTATTTTAATTAATGTATTACGTTTTATTATGTATTATTATGTATTATTTTACCTTACAAAAGTATTTTACAGTGGTTCAGTGATGGATAATACCATAGTACTGTGATGAAATGTTGTTTACCACATAATTAATACCATGCTACATATGCTAAACAACCACAACATTACTATAGTATTCTGTCTAAATCATTATTGCAGCACTATTCTACATTTATAGCTTGATTTGTGCCTGTCCTGTTAGTTATCAGGTTACTCTTTGTGTGTTTTTGAGCAGAACTAGATAATATTTCAGTAATTAGGGACATGAACATGTGTATTATATACATTTTGAGCGTTATGATTGATGTGTACTGTTGTTTCATACATAAGACCTTCAAAACCCATAATCTGTATCTTATTTTATAATTCTACATGTATTAAGTTACCGTATTATTAGTGATTGATAATGATGATGAATTATTCACATCATTCTGGACATTTGGCAAGCTATAAATAGCATTGCTATAAATAATCCTTAATTGAAATGTGATAAAAGTTAATATTTAAACTAAATCAGGGCTCAAAAATAAGGGTTTTCTTCCTGATGGCAGTAGTTCACGTAACATTTTTACTTTTTCCAGCCAATAAAAGTGATAGATTTTTATTTTGTATATTTTGTCATTTAATTTTATGTTTTCATTATTTGAAATTTATTTGACCTTCTAACTCTAGCACTCTCTATTCTAAGAAAAAAATACTCTTGACCCTCTAACACTTGCACTCTGTTCTTTTTCTATTCTATCTTCTTGTTTTATTTTTATTTATTATTTTTAAAAAATGACCCTTTAACACTTGCACTCTATTCTTTTTCTATTCTATCTTGTTTTATTTTTATTTATTATTTTAAAATTACCCTTTAACGCTTGCACTCTATTCTTTTTCTATTCTATCTTGTTTATTTTTATTTATTATTAAAACATAACCCTCAAACACTAGCATTTTCTAATTTTTTTCTATTCTTTTGACATGTTTTATTTTTATTTATTTCAAAAAAATGATCCTTTAACACTAGCATTTTCTATTCTTTTTATATTCTATCTTCTTGTTTTATTTTTATTTATTACAAAAATGACCCTCTAACACTAGCATTTTCTATTCGTTTTCTATTCTATCTTCTTGTTTTGTTTTTATTTATTACAAAAATGACCCTCTAACACTAGCATTTTCTATTATTTTCTATTCTTTTGACTTGTTTTATTTTTATTTATTACAAAAAATGACCCTCTAACACTAGCACTTTCTATTATTTTTCTATTCTATCTTCTTGTTTTATTTTTGTTTATTATAAAAATGATCCTCTAACACTAGCATTTTCTATTCGTTTTCTATTCTATCTTGTTTTGTTTTTATTTATTACAAAAATGACCCTCTAACACTAGCATTTTCTATTCATTTTCTATTCTATCTTGTTTTATTTTTATTTATTACAAAAATAAGCCTCTAACACTAGCATTTTCTATTCGTTTTCTATTCTATCTTGTTATTTTTATTTATTATAAAAATGACCCTCTAACACTAGCATTTTCTATTCGTTTTCTATTCTGTCTTCTTGTGTTATTTTTATTTATTATAAAAATGACCCTCTAACACTAGCATTTTCTATTCGTTTTCTATTCTGTCTTCTTGTGTTATTTTTATTTATTATAAAAATGACCCTCTAACACTAGCATTTTCTATTCGTTTTCTATTCTGTCTTCTTGTGTTATTTTTATTTATTATAAAAATGACCCTCTAACACTAGCATTTTCTATTCGTTTTCTATTCTGTCTTCTTGTGTTATTTTTATTTATTATAAAAATGACCCTCTAACACTAGCATTTTCTATTCGTTTTCTATTCTGTCTTCTTGTGTTATTTTTATTTATTATAAAAATGACCCTCTAACACTAGCATTTTCTATTCGTTTTCTATTCTGTCTTCTTGTGTTATTTTTATTTATTATAAAAATGACCCTCTAACACTAGCATTTTCTATTCGTTTTCTATTCTGTCTTCTTGTGTTATTTTTATTTATTATAAAAATGACCCTCTAACACTAGCATTTTCTATTCGTTTTCTATTCTGTCTTCTTGTGTTATTTTTATTTATTATAAAAATGACCCTCTAACACTAGCATTTTCTATTCGTTTTCTATTCTGTCTTCTTGTGTTATTTTTATTTATTATAAAAATGACCCTCTAACACTAGCATTTTCTATTCGTTTTCTATTCTGTCTTCTTGTGTTATTTTTATTTATTATAAAAATGACCCTCTAACACTAGCATTTTCTATTCGTTTTCTATTCTGTCTTCTTGTGTTATTTTTATTTATTATAAAAATGACCCTCTAACACTAGCATTTTCTATTCGTTTTCTATTCTGTCTTCTTGTGTTATTTTTATTTATTATAAAAATGACCCTCTAACACTAGCATTTTCTATTCGTTTTCTATTCTGTCTTCTTGTGTTATTTTTATTTATTATAAAAATGACCCTCTAACACTAGCATTTTCTATTCGTTTTCTATTCTGTCTTCTTGTGTTATTTTTATTTATTATAAAAATGACCCTCTAACACTAGCATTTTCTATTCGTTTTCTATTCTGTCTTCTTGTGTTATTTTTATTTATTATAAAAATGACCCTCTAACACTAGCATTTTCTATTCGTTTTCTATTCTGTCTTCTTGTGTTATTTTTATTTATTATAAAAATGACCCTCTAACACTAGCATTTTCTATTCGTTTTCTATTCTGTCTTCTTGTGTTATTTTTATTTATTATAAAAATGACCCTCTAACACTAGCATTTTCTATTCGTTTTCTATTCTGTCTTCTTGTGTTATTTTTATTTATTATAAAAATGACCCTCTAACACTAGCATTTTCTATTCGTTTTCTATTCTGTCTTCTTGTGTTATTTTTATTTATTATAAAAATGACCCTCTAACACTAGCATTTTCTATTCGTTTTCTATTCTGTCTTCTTGTGTTATTTTTATTTATTATAAAAATGACCCTCTAACACTAGCATTTTCTATTCGTTTTCTATTCTGTCTTCTTGTGTTATTTTTATTTATTATAAAAATGACCCTCTAACACTAGCATTTTCTATTCGTTTTCTATTCTGTCTTCTTGTGTTATTTTTATTTATTATAAAAATGACCCTCTAACACTAGCATTTTCTATTCGTTTTCTATTCTGTCTTCTTGTGTTATTTTTATTTATTATAAAAATGACCCTCTAACACTAGCATTTTCTATTCGTTTTCTATTCTGTCTTCTTGTGTTATTTTTATTTATTATAAAAATGACCCTCTAACACTAGCATTTTCTATTCGTTTTCTATTCTGTCTTCTTGTGTTATTTTTATTTATTATAAAAATGACCCTCTAACACTAGCATTTTCTATTCGTTTTCTATTCTGTCTTCTTGTGTTATTTTTATTTATTATAAAAATGACCCTCTAACACTAGCATTTTCTATTCGTTTTCTATTCTGTCTTCTTGTGTTATTTTTATTTATTATAAAAATGACCCTCTAACACTAGCATTTTCTATTCGTTTTCTATTCTGTCTTCTTGTGTTATTTTTATTTATTATAAAAATGACCCTCTAACACTAGCATTTTCTATTCGTTTTCTATTCTGTCTTCTTGTGTTATTTTTATTTATTATAAAAATGACCCTCTAACACTAGCATTTTCTATTCGTTTTCTATTCTGTCTTCTTGTGTTATTTTTATTTATTATAAAAATGACCCTCTAACACTAGCATTTTCTATTCGTTTTCTATTCTGTCTTCTTGTGTTATTTTTATTTATTATAAAAATGACCCTCTAACACTAGCATTTTCTATTCGTTTTCTATTCTGTCTTCTTGTGTTATTTTTATTTATTATAAAAATGACCCTCTAACACTAGCATTTTCTATTCGTTTTCTATTCTGTCTTCTTGTGTTATTTTTATTTATTATAAAAATGACCCTCTAACACTAGCATTTTCTATTCGTTTTCTATTCTGTCTTCTTGTGTTATTTTTATTTATTATAAAAATGACCCTCTAACACTAGCATTTTCTGTTCGTTTTCTATTCTATTCTATGTTCTTGTTTTATTTTTATTTATTATAAAAATTACCCTCTAACACTAGCATTTTCTATTCTTTTTTTCTTTTCGATCTTCTTGTTTTATTTTTATTTATTATAAAAATGACCCTCTAACACTAGCATTTTCTATTCTTTTTCTATTCCATCTTCTTGTTTTCTTTTTATTTATTATAAAAAAAAAAACCTTGCTATGTGTCTTCCGTTATGCTAACCGAGACTTGTCACACCAACAACACTTTTTTTTGTCACAACACTTCACAACAATTATTATTGGTTTTGATGGCTTCTGTTGTCCTCATTTGTAAATTGCATTGGATAAAAGCATCAGCTAAATGACTAAATGTAAATGTTAATAAAAAAAAATAAATACTACAAAAATGTGTTCGTTTTTTCCATTTCCAATGATTTGAGTTATATAGCCTAACTATATTGTAACTCTATATAAACATTGCAACTATACATTTATCAAAACAAGAAACGTTTGCAAGAAAATATTAGCATATGGAGCAAAACATTTCTGATTAAGACTATCAAAAGTCAGTTTTTGCAATTTAAAATTTCAACAAAAGCCATCTGTCTTAGTCAGCTGGATAACTTTACCCTGACATATTTTTTCAACAACACATACTCTGAAATGAATCTGGCATCTCTATAATTCAGCTGATGGTATAAAGGGTTGTCTGTGTTCAATATCTAGTCTTCTCTCTCGTGGTCTCAGGTGTCTCTAGAGCTGAATCCCGGTCTGACTCCTCCGTGGGTTCTACCTCCTGGTGTGGGTCTGGTTCATGTGCGAGGGCTGGGGCTCAATGACACGCTGCACTTCTTGCTGTGTAATCATGGAGCTCCAGCTCTGCTGATGGTTCACACGAACAGCACACAGTCAGCAGTGCAGGTGGACTGGCCTGTGTTTATCAACCGCAGTTCATCAGGCAGCCTGAAGGTGGAGCCGCAGAGCAGTGTGCAGTACAGCAGCGCACTAGTGTTCACCAGAGTGAGTGTAAAAGTCTGTCTGTGTAAGGCTGCGTCCGAAATCACATACTCTTGAGTAGGTACTGAATAAGTAATTACTTTGTGACTGTAAAAAGAGTATATTCTATACAGTATGAATGTAATCTGGACATTAGGGCTGCACGATATATCGTTTCAGCATCGATATCGCGATGTGCGCATCTTGTGCGATGTGCGATGTTTAGTATACTGATCGTTATATTTATACTGATTGTTTTCTTTGCTCACACACAGACACGATGTCTACACCGGACGCGACAGCTGTACAGAGATACCATTTTAAATACATTTAGTAGCAGAGCTACTGCACGCGATTTTCAGTGCTGGGAATCCGTTTATCCTTTGTTGAAACTTCCGCGTCGTCGTGGAGAGCGCAGGTCACGGTCGCTTAGCAACGGCAGACGCCACGAAAGCGCAAGCTCCCGAGCGCTTTGGG